CCGCGCACTCACTTTCCAAATAGTCCTCTAGGTACAACATCGCGGCCCTGACTGCTGCGGGGACGAACGGGTCCAGGGGTTTATTTGTGTCACTCCTTGTCGCCGGAGTTTTGTCCCTTCCAATATGGCGCCTCCGCTAGCAGCACCCGCTCGACTCCGGCAAAGGGAAAAAAAAAAAAAAAAGGGGAAAAAAAAAAAAAAAAAAGCCCCCCCTTGGGCCCCCACGAGTCCCGCCTCCCTCCCCCCCCGTGCTTCCTGCCTGGAGCGCTGACGTCAGCAGGCCGGTGCGGATCCCCGTGGTGTTCTGGGAAATGTAGTCTTTTTTTCCCGAGCGGGGGGCCATCCATGCGGGCAGCTCCAGGCGTCGCAACTACAGAAACCACACGGCTGTGCGAAACGGGTACGCCAGAATCCGAAATGCGGTGCCTCTGTTTATTTGTGGGTTTCTTGCAAGGGGAATGACGGGAATTGTAGGCGCCTGCCTGACAGAACTAGGAACAACTTTTCACCTGTTCTGTGCTGTGATTCCAAGCCCGCCGTTTGTGAGTCATGGATTTCTAACCGTGCTAGGCAAATAGCAAAGGTTCCAAACGCTAGAATAATCGGCCAAGTTCGGAAAACTCGAATTGTTTAGAACACAACTCCCTGCTGGAATTTATCTTCGTTATCCACTCCTGAGATATAAACGGGACAGCTGACTGTTGTTGATCCTGTAACTTTAAGATATTTATACCAAGACTGGATCGAATGAGCATTTCCCAAATTGAAAAATGCCCAAAAATTGTCTGCAATAGCCAGTATGTTTTGCTGCGTGTCTCGAATTCGTTGTAATATTCTAATGCACCTGCAAATAAATAAATAAATAAATAAATAAATAAATAACGGCCAACCATAAATTATGGAGATTTAATCCAATTCTGGGATATACCAGCAATGATTCAAATTTACGTTGGGTAAATATCCGGGTTAAGGTTTGTAAGTCCTGGACTGCGTCTTTTTCTACCCCTAACAAGTGTTCACTAGTAGTATAACGAGTGTATCACCGCTCTGTTTCTGTCTTAAAATCCCTTTCATAAAAATTCGTGCACTAAATACATGCTTTGTGTTTTGAGGAAATGATCCCTTCTTACACTATCTATTACTTACCTGTAATTCCGAAACTGGGGGAGTTGAGACAGGAGAGTCAACAGTTCGAGGGGAGCTTTGGCAACACGGGTAGTTGGAGGCTAGCCTAGACGGTGGGAGACCCTATTTCACACCAAAGAAAAATTAAAAAAAAAAAACAAAATTTTATAAAAACCAGTGTGACATTTTTAAGATTTATTCACTACTCTGAATATATTTATATGTCCAATTTAAAAATTTTCAAAATGACATACTTTTAGAAGCTCTATTTTGTTCTCTTTTAAAGCCATTTTCTTATTTCTTGTGTGTTAAACATATTTAGTCTACATCTGCTTAGTTTAAATCCAGTACTGAAAACTATGTGTATATTTGTCCTGTTTCTTCAAAAGCACCCACATTTGCTCACAGTGCCCAGTTCCATCTGGGTTGAGATTTTTGACTCTGAATTCACTTTTCTAGGGTTAATAAATGGAAATTCTTCAAGGCTAGAGTTAAAATTGAGTTTACCTAGAGACTATTAGCATTTGATTCTGCAAGTTGCTGCAAGACGCCATCAAACTTAGAGTCAAATTAAGTTGTGTGGTTGAGGTTTATTATATTGCACAGATAGATTGAATTTGAGTCTGTAACTCAAATACCTCATATACTCCCCGGGGAGACTTTTCCTTCGTTATTGGCCTCGCAGTCCAAGACAAGCATGTTTCTTACTAGCCTCTTATGTGCAAAGAGTATTTCTCACCCACCCTTACATGAGGAATACAGCTAGCTCTTGGGAGCCTCAAATTTTGTCTTCTATTAGACTTCTCTTTGAGAACTGACCATTGACTATTTAGGCTTATAGTGGCATGCTTTGGACTGTCAAAGCAGCAATTCTACATGTCCTGGATTTGATTGACAACCTCTGAACAAGAAGTTCACTTTGGCCCTTGTGCTAATTTTCCTTCCCTCATTTCTTTTATATCCACTCTGAGAATTACTTGATGTCCTACAAGAATATCCATATACTTGAGTTTGCTTGTTTGAGATAGGCTTTCAGGTAACCCAAGCTGGCCTCCAACTCACTATTGTAATCAAAGATGATCTTGAACTGCTAATCCTCATGCTCCTGCTTCCAGATTGTCAACTTTACAGGCTTACACAACCTCACATCATCCGGCTCCATTGGAGCTTGTTAATCCAGAATTTTTCATATTTTTTAACAGACATTGCACTCAGAGTAGGGAATATGCCATGCTGTCAAAAGTAGAGGTCTGTCGTGTCAGTGTAAACTGAGCTTCCTCCAGGAGTGTTCTGTATTGAGGAAAATGAAATTTTAAAATGATTCTAATTTAGTCAGTGTAATACACCCTCCAGAGAAATCCAGAGTAAAGCTTACATTTTTCTGTTTTCCCTACCAAACATAATCCTTATTGCTGGACTGTATATCACCTGCGGGAAGCCAGTCGGGTTATGCAACTGATAATACTTGGCAATGCCACCCACACACAACCAGCACATATCATGGCAGTGCTTCTTATGGGAAGAAGGACTGTTTATGTGTGAATATACTTATGTTCCCTGATAATAGCTTGTTAAGTCATCAGGAGTAGGCTGAAGGTGGCCCTATTACATGCTCTGGTTTGTGGTGTAAACTTGAGAAAGAAGAGACAAGAGGCCAATAACATGGTAACACCAGTGCACTCAATGTAGCACAATAAATTTGTGGTCCTTTTGCCCCTGTTGCTGAGATCCACCAGATCTAGCTCTTTCCTTGCTCTTCTCAGCTTTCTCTGTCACTCCGTCTAATAAGAGCTGTGTGGTGTTGAAGGTGATTTTAACATTCCATGTTTCTGTGCCCAGATGTGTAAATGGGAACTAGCAACAACAGTTCAGATACAGGGTGCTTATAAAGCTATTGTCTATGCAGAACTCTTAGATTAATACAAGGGAGATGTTATTATTCAATGAATGTCAGCTGCTATTGCCATTATCATTCTTGACATCATATGTCCCTCTTGAGTTACCCATATTAGAACTGGGACTTTGCGCTGCTCTGGGTTCTGCTTGGTACCTGTGCCACTTTTCAGGCCAGAGAGTGTTGGAAAGTTAGCATTATTTGGGGAGAATTTTTTTTAAATATTTGTGTGCTTGTTTGGACATGCACATGCCATGGCTCATGTATGGGAGCTAGAGGACAACTTATGGCCATACATTCTTTCCTTCCACCCTTTTTGTTCCAAAGAGGAAACTTAGGCTCTCAAGCTTGACATTAAGTGCTGCTACCACTGAGCTATCTCCAAGGCCCTCTAACATCAACTTACCCACAGCCAAGATGATGCCATTGTCATGATAAATTCTAGGGAGCGACATGCAGGGAAAGTGTATATACTTTGAAGTGTATACCATGTACATCAGGGAAAATTAATGCCGCAGTAGGAGTTAGAATTTAGGGAAATGATTCAAAGGTTGATGCAAAATGTGAGGTTTTCAGAGTTCAAGAGAAAGGGGATTTAAGTCCTTTAGGCAGCGTGTTGTCATGGGAACATTTTTTTAGATGAAGGTTCTAGCATTTTCCTGGCTTACAAAGAAAACCACCACCATGAAACTTACAATAGACTCTGAAGATTAAGAGTAGTTTTTAATTCTGCCTTAAAAGGTATGTCTGCCTTAGAGACATCTGCATTATGTATGAAGAATGGAAGGTACCTTTAGCAAACTTCTCTACTTTACCAAGTTAAAACCCCAATAAACCATTCCCTGAATGAATCAAAAGCACACCAATGGAGTGACAGTCTTCCCTTCACAGATCTGTGGAAGCCAGACTTTTTCTTCCCAATACTCACCTTTCTCAGGGAGATCTACTTTCCTGACCTGGTTTCTTGGTGTTGGTGATGGGGAATCTGGAGGGCAGCAGAAAGCAGGCAGGAAGATGGGAACTAAAGGAGGGAGGGACACTACAGAGCCAACTGCTCTTCAGGAGAACAGTGGATGGGGAAGGAAAGACACTGAAATGGATGGTAGATCCATGGATTAAAATGCCATCACAAAACATTCTTACAAATAAACTCCTGATCAAATCGAAGAAGATACCCAGAACTAAGAGAATGAATCTCCCACAGGCTAGCAATAGAAAATACACTCTAAGTTGAACACCTTGAGAAGCTGAAATAATTTAGTTTGCAGGTCTTAACTGATGGGATCTATTATATTTTTGTTTTTGTTTTCAGAGCTGGAGATGACACGCAGGCCCTTAGACTCAAACATATGCTATAATACTGTTGTATTCCTAGCCACAAGGTTTTAGGTCCTGATATATAGAGTGAAAATACCAACCGCCTCAGATCCTGTGCTGATGGGAAGCTAATATTAACCATCTTGCAGTGTGTCAGCCATCATAGATGGATCGGTTAATGTGCCTGGGCAAATGATACAGCCTTTTCCTCCCTCCACAGAGATCATGGTTGGAACATCCATCAAAGTTACAAGAACCTCAAACCAGCACACCTTTCTGTGGAGGCCAAATTCAGACTCCTCACAGCCTGCGGAGTTACTCCTCTATGATGGTGAACATCATTCCAGTCTGACCCACTAGTCAGCTTGGTACCGATAGAAGGAAATAAACAATGACCTATCTAAAGAGAAACGTGTTATTGAGCTCATGGTTTTAGGATTCCACATCTAAGATTAAGGAAAGGAGTTGCTTTGGCATTTGGTGGACATGGCAGTTAGATATTCCAGAAACATGTGTCCAAGTTAGCAGTCAGGTACTGAACTGGAAGAAAAAGGCAGAAGACAGACAGATGAGTCTCCCAATCTCCTGATAGGGCACACCACAATGACCTAAGGACTTTCTACAAGACCCTACCTTTTAAAGGCCCACAGCACCTTCCACTCACCCTGGCAATCAAAATTTTATTATAAAGGACCCTTCAGGGTATTGAAATTTTACTAAGGCCATTAACACTTCGTGAAGGTGCCCACATGAAGACAAATGTTAATACTGCCCACCAAGGTTTTTCCTCACCCTGGGAAACTAAGCCGTTTGTATTGGAAAGGATCTCATTTCTAA